ACTAAGGCAATCCTGTCACGGCACCAAATTTTACTTTAATGTAAGTTAAATTTAATTAAAGATCGATATGATTTTAAATTCGCCGTGCAGTGCGGCGTAAGAGAAGCCACTACCATATCATCCTATCGTCATAGGCTACTAAAGAAAATAAAACAGAAATGGGTAGCAGCATCTTTGTGATAACAAATGAAAAAATTAAAAAAACTGCGGCTGCCAAACTTCGCGCCTGCCAAACGAGGCAAATATACGGGGAGCAGAGCCTATGTTCAGCAGTATACTCCTGATAGGCTGTAACGAGTAAATGAATGATTTAAATAATTAGAGAGCCGCTGGTTCTTTCATGACCTGCAGTAATAAATTATTTTGCCGCTCCGGTGGGCCGTCAGTTCGATTCCCGCCTGAAACGAGTTGTGTAGATTATTATGAACTACCCATCCACCACGCTCCGACTAACAATGATGCTACTCGACTACCGTACTGTCATAGGTCAATTCACTACAAATTCAGTTCATTTCAACTCACAATTTTAATATGGGCAATATATATATATATTTTTTATAATTATTTTACATTACATATTTACAAAATAATTTGAAATGACATTGCTGTAACCTACGCCGTGAATTATCGTGGAAGATGAAGAGAATTACGTAAAAAAATTGTTTAATAATTAACATATTTGCCTTCTGATTACAGAGACACAAGGACGCGAATGATATCAATATTTCTCTGGTTCAAATTCCAATAACGTGGTCTTAAATATATTTATAATAAATATATAATCTAGAGTATCAATTTAATAAGCATCATAGAAGTAGGTTAATATACTTCAGTAGCAAATCTTTGACACCAGTAAGAGCTTTCTACCAACTACTTATATGTTTTGAAAATAATAGATTTAATAAAACTCTTCGCGCAGAGATTTAAAGCAAGCTAAAATATTCGCGTTCAAAAAACGTAATTCAAAGTGATTTGTTATCAGTTTTGTTTTAGTAATGTCTCTGATAATGTTCTTCAAAAATTTGACACACTTAAAACAAGGAAACAACTAAATTAAATATTTACTTTTTAAATATGAATCAATAGACAACTCGACCTTTAAAGCAACATGACAGTTCAAATGAAAATGCAGGTAAAATACAAGATTACATCGATAATCCATTATCAGCAGTGATAGCCGGTCATTGACTGAGAATCGAGCGTTGGTGAGAATTGATTTTTTAAGGTTTACTGAAGATATTTTTATATCATTAACCGATTTTACTAACACAACTAATCAAAACTTTAATTCTACGCACAGCGATGACTGTATTTTTAATTTTTAATGTATTACAAAATTAAAGAGATATATAAAACAAATTCTTACATTTAACACATAAAAATAATAAATATTATACCAGGTAATTTAGCAGTTGAAATAAATTTAAATTAACTGAAGCTAAATTTAGAGCAACACGTTATATCAAAACTTTCAGACTAACTGTAAAGGTTTCGAATAAATAACAACAGTTTAACAGTCGTAACGAGTCAAGTTTCATAGACATTAGGGAAACCGTAACAAATAGCGTTGAAAGGGTGAAGTAGAGTAAAAAGGAATTGTGAGATAATGTGTGACCGCTGATTTAAATATCAATTGAGCGACAATTTCATTCAAAAATAAGGCAAACGGTCGTACCGTTACTAGACCTTCCATGTTACACAATTAAGAATGTTAAGGATGTCTTTTCAAATTTTATGTAACAGGAGAACGTGTAATTAAAACATTTTATTAATCTATTTTATATTGGCAACAATAAACTCCTCTGGGTGTTGTGTTCTTCATATTAATTTACTTCATGTCGTAAATATTTATTACTGAACCTAATAAATATTGTTGTGAATTATTGGAGACAATTTTTTAAACCTTAGTTTTAAAAAAAAATTATTACAATGTCTTCTAGACCAAATTTTTGTCACGTCGGTCAATTTGTACAGAGACCAGCCATCTGCGTAGGACAGGATTAAAGTGCACGAGTGTGTGTGCAGGCGCAGGTGCACTCTATGTTTTCTTGCTCTCATAGACCGATTAGAGGGCAATCTGACATGATCGAAAAGAGATCAGGTGCAGGAACAACATGGGCTTCACGTGCTTTCCGGGAGAACACCATTAACTTTCTGATTCCTACTACTACGCTACTACAGAAAATTTCTTAATAACTGCCCTAAAATCAGTTATTAAGAAATTTCACCCGGGATTCGTACCTATAATGTTCTAGGTACGAATCATATGTATCATGTGGTCAGCAGTTACTTCCGACCTCTAGAGAAACGAGGCAATCACATCACAATTATACAACACAAGCAACACCAAAAATGAAAACGCAAAAGACGACCACTTTCAAAGCAAAATATTTATCTTAGCTGACATAACATCACGCCGTCTATTCAAAAATTAGCCTATGTCTATTCAAAAGCTTGGGCAATGTGTAAATGTGTTGATTCAAGAAGAATATGACCCATGATAATTACTGAACTTTGCGTCTAAACAACGTTCGTCTAGTTCATTAATATCATGAAAAAGTCATTTTTGAGTTGAAATTTATAAATAACGTGACCTTTTATCATAAGAAATAAATAAGTGCCTTAACTATTAATATGATTACAATAATGATAACGATGATAACTATAGATTATTGCTAGAACATTTTTGAACAATCTTTTTGTATACAGATTAATACTAACCAAATATAAAAAGTATTAGAAACTATAATTAAATATACGAAAATTAATATAAGAAAAAATTTAATAAAACCCAAATTAGAATGCAATTTATACTCCCAAAAATTAACGAATAGGAAACAAAGTAAATTAATTTACGGTAAATCTGTAAGATCGCATCTATTAACGTAAACCGCACTTGGAATGTGTCTAAAGAATAAATAGGTCAAGATATCTGAAACCGTATAGCTGTAAGTTGTATTATCACTTTCACATACTCCCAGTGAGTATCGAAATTATAACAAATTTATGTTCCCGACGCCTTCGGTCGATGCATTTTTATTTCTTTTAATGTTAATTGAAATGACATGGCTGGTGTCGCAGTCAGTCGTCTTTTATTTTTATTTTTATTAATTCTTTTTATTTGTATCCCATCGTGTTCAGCCATCCAGTTCTATACTCGAGCTTTCCTATTTTATGTTATCTAATCGATGAGTGGGGTACGCTTACATGGCGTTAAAGTCAAATTTATTACTTTTTAATATTAGGTTCACATATTCATAAAATTCTCTGGTAAAAACTTTAAATTCCTATAAAGTAAATATATGAAAGATTACGCATTAGCAACAATTATTACAATAATTTTATCACGAATATAGATTCGGCTGATAAAATATTTTATCCAAAACGTGTAATAATTTAGTAGTTTTGTAGTTTGTTTAAAATTTCAAGTGTTAAAAATAATCAATATTAAAGTAAATGTGTTTTTATTTCTGAAGAATTTTAGTAATCATCAAGGACACTTATCCCATTTTATACAAGTCTCTAACTTTATTATACCTCGCGAGCCTTGCATGTTGCCTAACAATAGAACGGTATTTGCTATGTATTTATTATCGTAAATAAAGCAAAGATTTATGGCTGATTGTTGGTTTTCTAAATGGACGTCTAGAATTTCTAAGGTGTACTCAATTTGTTGCAAATGTCAATAAATTTATGTAAATAAAATAAATAAGATTTTGAGTAAATTGGTAGAAAGTTAATTTTGTCTTCGTAAAAATATGTTTTTTTTTAAAATATATTAAAATATAAACCGGCCATTACATGTGAAAAAATTATCTGTAATTTATCACATTTTTTTGTAAATGTTCTTTCCGCATATTTCTAAAGTTGTATTTAGTAATGATTTCTTATATTTACGCGAACACTACACATTTAATAAAACTACTTTTACGGATTTTTTCGCGTTTACTTATTTATCTTATTTTTATTAATTCCCGACGTCCCCCGTGACCACGGCTGCTGTAAAGCACCCGAAACTCAGTAATATTAATACGAATATTTAGTAATAGAATCCATCGCCCCATTACATCATGTAGGTATCGTAAGAGGCGACAATGGGTTATTCCAGAAAGATCCTCTAAGAGGTTCTTATCCTCTAAATGGCGGTTTGAACATCTTGTTTATGCCGGGTGTAAAATATCCAGACCGTCGACTGAGCAAACTGACGGGAGCAATGTGAAAGGTGCAAGAGTCTCATAGTGCGGCAGTATTTCCATCTGCTAATCGTGCCGATTAAGGCTAATTCTTGTGAATGAAGTAGTATAAGAAGAAATAATACGTAGGATGACACCATACAATACGCTTCTGATTTAAATTAAAGTTGTAAAAATCAATTAGCTAATATATCCGCGTAATAAAATAAAATAATGTGTTTTACTTAGTTTAAAGAGCACCTCTCCCGCTCTCCCTCAATTGCGTGCACTATCCCCGTCACCACTAATCCCAGCTTCACTGCTCCCAACACCACTACACTAGGAGAGACACACCACTATCGATAATACGACACATGTTTACGAGTGGTGCTGGGATTCGTGGTGACGGGGATAGTGCACGCAATTGAGGGAGGGCGGGAGGTGCAATTCATTCATCAAGTCATTATTTTTTTTGTTTTAAAAAAAACGTTACCCCACACTAGGATTTTCTCCTGTATCGTGGAGGCAGTTTACAAACATAAATTGCACTAGGACAAACATCCAGACCCGGAACAATTATTTGTAGGCCATACAAATACTTGTTCCGCGCGGGATACGAACCCGCGGCCACCAGCGCAACAACTCATTGCTAAGCCACTGCGCCACAGAGCCGTCAATTTGCCAATTGGAAACAAAATAAAAAACAAATAACAATGGAAACAAAATAAAAAACAAATAACAATTTGTTTTTTATTTTGTTTCCTTTTGGTAACAAATTTAACTAACTAAATCAGTTTACTAAATTGAATAATTTTCTCCTTGTTGTAGCGAATCTCACCATCAGCACGCGCGGCGTCAATCTAGAACTGCTCATTCACTCGCCCGTACAGGACATGTACCTCTGCTTCAACCGTTCTCGACTTGTAGGCAGACGTTTGGTAAGCTTTCTAACGGATATATTAAAGTTCCATACAGAAATTTTATAAAATATTCTACTAAATATTTAAGCAATATCATAAAATAATCAATTGTATTTTATTTGTCAACAGTCCCGATTCCAAGCGGAGAGACAACCCAATTGCCTATTCAAGGAAGAGTTTGTGGACGGCTACAGCACATTTCACCTTGTGAGGAACGACGACCGATACATAGGGTTCAACCGGCGGGGTGTCCAGTTGCGACGTCTGAAGAGTCGCCTCTCCGAGCGCGCACACAAGTGCTTCGCGTTCATGAAGGAGAACCAAGACTTCGACATAAACAGGCACAACAACATGGTAGCGGCGGATCTGCCAAGACGTCCGCAGCGTAGACTCCGGCCTCCACCGCAGAACTCCATAAAACCGTCCTGTCATGGCGTACGCCACCATCATAGCAGACATCAAAGGCGAAGGAACTGCGAAGGCACGTAGACATCCAGTCTCATCATTAGCAGCTCACTTACGCTTCATCGCTTCGCGCGTTTTGTTGCCAGTTGTCGATGGGCCTTGTGGACAGAGTATTAGTCAACTATCGCAGTATTATTTCCGTACGAGGACTGGACAACGTTAGGCTAGCAGTCGGCCGCGGTGGCCGCGGCGTTCTAAACGCCAATGAATGGTAGCTGAAGCGAGTGCAAGCAAACATTTGAATGGAGGGGAAAAAAGCCGGGCCGGGACGGCGGCTGGAGATGTGAAATTCCTTAAGGTCGTGTAACATCGTAGCAATCGTTTGCTCTTGCGCTCGCGCGGACTCGTGCTCTAAAAGGAAAAAAGGTTTTCTGAGGAAAGAGCAAATAGTTGTATCGCTAGTCACGAGTCTTCCGACAGACCACCGCTGATTTCTGATGATCGAACGCGACGAGGGAACTTAAGACACGTCGTCGTTGCGTGTCAATATAAATTTTTTTCGTTGCTTAACGAACATTTAGACATTTGATAAAAACTTACCAAACCTCGACTGCTCCGGCTGGCTCGCCATTAATGTAGTTAAAGCGCCTTTACGTCAATTCTCAGTGTATTATTATTTAAATGCTTTAATATTAAGTTCGGATCGCGTTATCTGCTTGTAAATATAATAAATATAATTGTGTTTACTTATTTATCGAAGAAAAAACTTAAACAGAAAATTGTAAACGTAGGTATTAGTTGTATAGTTGTATTAAAATTATTTGTATTTAATTATGGGTATTTAATCTATCCGACCAACCGCTCTCTTGTGATTAGCCACGGATATTGTAACTATTAATTGTAACTTCATGTCTGTATACTTCAATTATCACGACATATTCTCCAATATTTACTAATGTTGCTATGGCTTATGAATTTGATGTATGATTTGAGCATTTTGTAAATATTATTTTAAGTGTTTGTTTGTGAGTGATAGGTACTTGAATCTCTTTTTGTTATAAATCTGTATTCAATGTTGCAATATTTACATCCACAATAACATTCCTAATATGTAAACGTAATGGAAGACAAAATGAAGGCATTATTTCTTGTATAATTTGCCATCCGAACTGTTATAAAACTCGTATTTATTAGTGAACATTGTAATCAAATGTATTTTAAGATCTGTGCCATAGTGTGGTGGCAGTGTACGACTTTATGTTCGCATTGTAATTAGTGTGTTAAGTTAATGTCTGTTAACTATGAATAGATAAAAGAATGTTTAACGTAAGACAAGTAACTGAATTTAAAACATTAATGTATCCTATACCCAGTGTGAAAGTGGCTTAAAATCTTGCGTATGCGGGGTGTAAGAATGTTATGAACTTGACCTTATACCTAATATATTATTCAGTGTTATCGTTGCTACTGTCATTGATTAGCGATATTACCGATGCTCTACATTCCATATAATAACGATGTATTCCGCGATCGACAATATAAAATAAAACACAATACATTCCAAAACGATTAATATATGATATATTATGAAAAAATGCATTTAAATACACAATAAAATTGTTATATGACATTGTATATTGTATCTTCAGTATCTCTATTTATATATTCAGACGCTCAGAACGAAATCATATAATTGCTAAGAAAAATTACGAAATTAAAGCATATTTAACTCGCATTACTGTATTATTTTTTCATAATTCATTCAAAGCAATGCAACTGTGTAGAGGCTATGTTAGAATATTCACTACCCCATATGGACTATATGGAGGGTCGACGTGGATATCGTAAGAGGTGCCAAAGGAAAACAGCGTAGACGGCAGCGACTTCCTAAAAACAAATATAAAATAGAAAATATGGTTGCCAACCCGCCTGCCAAACGTATCCCTCCTTTGAGGCAATCTGTGAAGAGGCTTATGTTTAACATTTACGCATTTACCACGGGGAGTGCTCTGAGGAATTATTCCGATTAATCCCAGCCGCCAAATTTCACAAACGCACATCGCTGCAGAACTCTGTGAACTGTGCGATTTAGAAGATGTTGTCTTCCTTGCACAACTTGCCTGTGGAATCGATTACCACCACAACAGCTTACTCCTTTTTAAAAGGCTGGCAATGCATCTGCAATTCCCCTGGTTCCTCTGGTGTTGCAGTTGTTCATGGGCGGCGATAGTCACTTACCATCAGGTGAGCCATATGCTTGTTTGCCCCCTCTCCTATAAAAAAAACAGTAAACTTTGATAGTCCAACATGGTCACTTGCTACTATAGCCATTGGACCATGGACCTAGAAAAAAGGGCGGACGCCGTCTCTTAAAACAATTACTGATGCACCCATACTAAGTCAGCTCGCTAATACAAACAAGCCGGCACGCACACATGCACACCATAGTAAGTCAACAGCCCGCCATTACGCTCCAAACCGCGTCCGCGTAACATTGTAGTGAAAACCTGTTGAAATCATAGTGGTTCCATTAAAAAAAGCCAGGGGATCACTTTTCATAGGTAAGTAAGTAATTTATTCACCTTATTTCTCATTTTTACTTTAATTTATTTCAAACTTTATTATCAAAACATTTTATTAACAAACAAAAATTATTATCAAAACACGAAACTAATCAGTGTTGCCAGTTATTAAATTTGCAAGTTACCTTAAATATGGGAGATTAATATCTTTTTGTTCACTTTGAATTGTTCCTTAATTCATTAATTTACCTCTGTATATACTTTTGGCGTCCCATGATACTAAAGTACCAATATTATAAATTTTACATTTTATAGATTTCCCTCTGCAGATGATGTGTGGAAGAATGGCTGGGTGCAAATAATAAAAGACTGTAGAAATGAAAACAATTGGAATACATCTAAATCTAGTGTAATCTGCAGTAAACATTTCGAGGAGAATGATTTATAGAGAACAAAAGGTGGACTTCTTCGCGTTGTTACTTACGCCATCCCAAAAAAGATAAAGATCAATGAATATCTATTTTCCTCTTACAATTATAAGCTTAACATATTGAAACGTAATTAATTTTTTAGTTTTTATTTGAGGCGTCAAGCGTTCCGGAGGAACAACTCGTTGAAGCAAATACTTCCAGTGCTTCGCATGGGGTACGTACGTGTTAAGGAGAGAAGTTTTTAATCGATTTGAAAAAAAGGAGGTCAAGAGAGCCAAGTCGACTGAATGTTTTTTGTTTTTTTAAGTTACACCGACAATGTCGAAACGTTTTCGATGATTCTTTTTTAGTTGAATAGGTTATACTACAATGTTTTTCACCGATATGTATTTCTTTTCTTTTAGAAAAGAAATACATCATAAAAGGGATGTATTGCTTTTCTTTTTGAAAATAAATACATCCTTATTTTTGTACTTGCGAGATAGTGATCCGAAAGCATTTAAGAGATAATATAACTATATATACTGAAAGACAACATCAGTACAGGCTTACCAAAATTCTGGAAAAATATATAGCTAACGACAGGATTTTTTTAAATTTAAAACTTGACCATGCGTTTGCTAGAGTAAAACATAAAATAGCTCTCATTGAATATATAGCCGAAAAATATCTGAATATTCGTTTTCACCATATAGCTAAATTGAAGGAGATTTCTAAGTCTTTTGACAGTAAAAGACAATATTATAAAAAATTAACCCAACAAAAGGGACTCTAAAAAAACCGTTAATAAATGTAAATTAATTATAATATTAATAAATATTCATAATCAATATTTTTATATTCAATGTGTTTTATTACAATCTTGTTTTATTAAACTTAAAGTCCTGGTTCCGAGGACGATGACGAATGTCTTAAATCTAATTGAATTATTTTGCGTTTAAAAATGGGTAATTTTTCTTCATCTTGCAACCCTCTACACGCTCACACATAGTTACGCTGCCGTCACTGCGACGCCTCAATTGTTTGTTAGCGAGACTCTGTCCGCCCTTTTTTCTAGGTCCATGCATTGGACACAACTAACTGAAAGAAAAGAAGGATATAGATAAATTTCGATAAGACGTCTATCTCTTACAATTCAAATCGGAATAAAATATAAACAAGGGTGTGGTACGAATATCAATATCAAATACAAAGCAGAAGAGAACTCCTTCAACCTAGTAAATTCACATTTAAGAGGTCAAGGCCGTCGCGCAGTCTGTAGCGCGTACTCACAAATATTGAGCGGTTCACGAGGACAATTATTATACAACGTATACAAATACTGTTATTGATACCATAAACTAACATTTACCGAGTCCTTAGTGCCTATTTACTCGGTAAATTCAGCACTGAACAAGGTTCATCAGAAGTTCCGTACATGTGATACACAAGGTGAGGATAGTCTTAAAAGGTCGCATTATATAACTATAAAGCGCACATAGATGATTAGTACCTATTTAAAATTATTTTATCCACTCATTAGCATTCATAATTTTATTGACATATTTACAGTTACATACTATAGTTATTCAAATATTAAATTAAATTGTTAGTGATTGTTAAATATGATCTTTTTTATTTTATTACAAATACGCAGCATATTATGTAAATCCTCAGGGGTAACAACGCATCGACATATTACTTCATAAAGTGCAGAAGTCCGGGCGACGGCGCACCTACTTCTACATCAGGTGGATTGTGCGCTTGTTGGTAACCCTACTTCGAAGAAATGAACGTTCACGTTTTGGACAGTATTTCTGTACAAAAGTTCATATTAACGTTGTGTTGTGCGAATTTTTTTATATACTTATACTTATATTATATAAGCGGAAATTTTTTTGTTTTTTTTTTTAATTAGAAAAATTATTTTGACGATTTGAAAAATTCTCTTTGTCTATTACAGTCAGATTCAAGAAAAATAGCCTTAAATATTGATTTTTGTTCAAGTCGGAAGGAAAACCGAACACGAACTACTTTATCAGCGTGCGCTGGCGTATTGGTCAGTGATACGTAAATACAATGTTCTAAAAAAATATAGATCTTTACTTCATTTAAAAAAAGTCCGCGATATCATATGCCTCTTTCTTATACA